GATATTTCTTTTTCATGACGTTTTTGGAAAGTTTTTGAACGACTTCGAAAACAACAACTTAGAGATGCCGTCGGACCTATACACTTGGACGTTAGAACTAATAAATGTGACGACGGAGCATTATGAGTTCGAAGATGATAGGGCGAAAGTCCTCCGAGAAAAGCTTTCCCAAAAGCTAGCCCCCATCATTTTGCAGCAATATAAAGGAAGAAGTTCATGCGATGGAGTATCATTCGTTAAAGTAGAGCGATACTTCATTGCTTACCAACTATTTCTTGAAATCAAGAATGAGCTGGGACTAGGTGGTTGTGACCCTACCGTTCAAGGCGCGATTTATTATAAAGACCATTGGACACAATTAAGTGTAATGTTTCTATTAATCCTCTGTTTATTCAAATCCATATGACATTTAAATAATATATATTTTTTTATATATTAGTCAATACAAATCAGTGAATGTTGTTGTGCCCCATCCTTCATAATAGTAGTGGCGGGACCATGGATTTGTGTCCTCGGTTGTATATTTCTATCCAAAGTGATAGTCCAACCACTAACGGACTTTATACCGTTAACCATAGGCGTGGAAGACTTTGACCAAGTCGAAAGGATCGTACGGCTTTTTTATGCGTTGCATCTTGCCATTTGTAGATTAGAAGAATTCTACAAAGGCCTGGACATGGTCGTAAATGACCAAAAGTATTTCCCCTACTTTAACCATTATATAACTGAAGGGAAAAAAATGATCTCTTTCACATATCATTATCAATTCGAATCGGTATTAGCCTGGAAGGCAGAAACAGTAGATGGGCGTATAGTCGTCGTTAAATATTTCCGTGAATATAACATTGAAGCACATGAATTTTGTGCAAAAAAAAGTTTCGCGCCAAAAATTTTGCACGTGGCCAATCCCGAAGAACTCCGGAAGTTTTCAGTAGTCATTACTGACTTCGTCCCCGGCACTATTTTAATTAAGAAAGACAAAATTCACCCGAAGTTTTACCAAGGCATTTATGACAATGTGGAGTCCATTGTAAATTTTTCACATGAACAAAATTTCGTGTGTGGTAATCTTAGCCCTGCAAATATCATAACAAATGAAAAGAACGGAAAACCGGAAACAATGTTGATTTCATTTGATCGGTGTGGGATTCATCAGGTGAATAAATATCCACCTTCAATTAAAAATAACAATTTGCCATCAGGAGTTGGTCCCGGGTCTTTGCTCGACAATGCACATGATACATATTTCATGACTGAATTATGGGCATTCTTAATGTCGGAATAGGTGACTGAATTGTGGGCATTCTTAATGTCGGAATAGGTGACTGAATTATGGGCATTCTTAATGTCGGAATAGGTGACTAAATTATGGGCATTCTTGATGTCGGAATAGGGTTTTTTGTAAATACTGTAGCATTTAAAATCTTCAAGGATAATGTAGGATTTAGGGAATTGTAGGTTTTTCATTTGCTTAAAATGTAGGGTTTAGAGGAATTGTAGGGGTTTCATCTACTTAAATATTGCATATATGATAATAAAATCACCTATTTGCTTTCTATAAACTAATTTGATGAATGGATGCCCTTCTATTGACACTCTATTAATTGGACTGGTGCGATAGTAATTAGCATTTAACCGATCTGCATTACGCATGATAACAATTACCAATCAAATTGAATCTCCAGGGTGACCACAAAGATTGCGTAAGGCCCTAGCATCACCACCAGTATTAGGATTAGGGCTTGAGGATATTTTGTTTTGATTTTTATGCGAAATTTTGTATGGTGGTGACGCTAGGGTGTGCTCGGTTTTTCATCATTGTGGCGCAGATCCCGATCTACAAATCAGTTCTCAAGATGATCTCAAGAATCAGGTGTTCTAAATCGTGTGTAACGTAAATTTCAAAACAAATGTTCGTTTTGCCAAAAATCTGTATACTAACCTACTTTTAGTGTTCTAACAAAAAGTTTCATTGAGCGATTTTACTATATTTCTCCCTAACCTCCAACTTCAAATGTTAACCCTAACATTAATGAATTTTAGAAAATTTTCCTGCATCACAATGATCGACAAAACTGAGCACAGATTCAAAAATTGCAGTTGAAGATTGCGACACGATCGATCATCTCCGGCCGATCCATAGTACTCTAGACGTTCATTCATAGCGGACTTCTTGATGTAAATCAAAGAGAACGTAATGTTTTACTAACAAAAATCGCCGTGAAAGCTCTAATATATTAATACCTAAATGCTGGAAACGGTCAACAACAAAAATTGAAATGATATAATTGTAAGCTTCAAACTTAAAAACTTTGCGTATACTGTTTGACATGCTATTATAATAATAACATTCTGGACTAATGCATATATTTAAATATTCCCGAATATTAGAGTTAAACTATTAGATCAGAAAACGTAATTTTGGGTTAAGTAATAGGCCAATACTATACATAAATGCTATCGCTATGTTCTATCAATTATATAGGCTAAAGGTTATGCACATCTCTAATAAAAGTCATGATGACTAAAAATATGAATTCATTTGCATGTATTTATTAGTTTATAAGCTTTATGTGAAGTTTTTTTTTTTTCTAGTTGTATTAAACAGATAAATCTTTCTAACAATTATGTATTTTGATTGATTGATTATTCGGGTAGATATCTTCCTATATAACCTAGCCATTTAGCAGAATAACCAAATAGGAATCCTTTTCATATTGTTAAAATATGAAAGTGCCAGTTTGATATTTTGTGATTAAATAAATCTATATTAAATTATTTTTTTTGTTTCACCTTTCTTATTGAATAAGGTTATGATATTATTAAGATTTCTTTTTTTTAAATTCTTATTATGTACTGTACTATATAATAGAAATCGTATTATCATGCCATTAACAACAGGTGGGACCGTCCCATCATTTGTAGATCGGTTGCACAATTGATAAAGAATTTTTTATATTGGTTTACAATACTTTTTTTAGTAAGTTCGCGTAACTTATCCTGCTACGAAAGGTGTGTGCAAGCCTTCTAAGTATTCGAACTGCATTATAATATATTTCTTTAATCCATGTTAATCCCACGTCGTTGTGTTGCTATTTGCTTAGTAATGTTACGAGTAATGTTGTTAGACAAAACCTAAGGGTTTTGTCACTGGCAAAGTCGAAACTGGGTTTTGTCTTTTGTCAAAAAATTTTTAACATGACAAAATGACAAAAAGTGACATTCTGGTAATATAGTCAACGAAAATATGGTTAGTTCCTGTATTACAAATTTTGGCTTATGTAGACCAATATCAAAAGATTCAAGTTCCAAAAAGATTTATGGAGTACTTCCTTATATTGTTCCGGAAGTGTTGTATGGAAAAGAATATACTCAACAATCAGATATTTATTCTTTTGGAATAATCATGTCAGAAGTTATTACAGGATATCTTCCATATCATGATATTTCACATGATGATAATCTAGCAGAATCTTTTTATCTAGGTTATAGACCTGAAATTAGATGCAAAGCTCCTCAACTGCTTTTAGATTTAATGAACAGATGTCTAGATGCTGATCCTCAAAATCGACCTACTGCTAAAGAATTAAATGCTATATTACAGCAGTATGACGATGATGTAGAAGTTAAAAAAAACCGAATCTGAAATAAATAAACGTTAAAGAAATTGAAAATTTAGCAAAAGATTCATTAATTTATTATCTGGCAAACTCGACGCAATTCAATTATAAAACACACAAACAAGCCATTTATACAAGCGACTTTTAGATTTCCTAAACCAATAAACGCAGGTAATAACATTTATCTGACTTAAAAACTTAAACTGTATAGTAAATATACATTATTGGGCAAAAATTTGGCAATTTGGCAAATGAACACGTGCCGCAAAGCGGCACGTGCAGCCAATCATTTGCTAAATTACCGTATTCGCAAATTTGCCCAATAATGGTGCTATCCGGCAATTTATGATCATGATTGGTAGGGAGTGGTTGACTGAGGTTTAATTTGAATAAACACGATTACATCGTATCACATGAAAAAAAATAACGTGCAGAAATTTATAGAGTTTGCCGGATAACATTTTTTATTAGCTCCTGAAGTTATTTTAGTAAGCAAGCCTCTCAAACCTCCCGAACTTGAATAGATATGAATCTTAATTGCTACAAATTTGTTAATTTACTTTTGTTTTTGAAATAAGTTACTATTTTAATACATACAATATAAATTTATTGATTGAATTCCATTTATATGTAAAGATAGATTCCATATAAGTGCCGCCAAGGGAAAATGTCCCTCTGATAATTATAGAATATTCAGCCCTTCTGATCAACGACGCATCGGGCTTTC